TGAAATCAAAGGTAAGAAACTAAAATAAAAAACCAAAGATAAATGCAGATAGCTTTGTAAGAAATAACTGAAAACTTGATAGGGAAAAAAGATTTATAAGCCAAAGAGTAATCTTTAAACTAACAAGTAATAAGTAAAGAGTAAGTAGTAAGTAAAGAGTAATCTCTACACTAACAAGTGTAAAGATTAAGTTCGATTGGTAAAGAGAAAAAAAAGCTGTTTAGGAACCTGAAAAACAATCGCTCTCCATCTTCCCGATAAGTACTAAATAAATTAATCCCACAAAATAAACTTATCACACTAAATAGATCTGCCCGCCTTGAATTGATTTGAAACTTAACAATACTGCGTAGTTCGAAGATTTAATACTAGGTTTATGAAAGATTTATTAAGAAATACATCTTTATTCCGATCCGAAGAAAGGTTACAACAGCGACTGACTGATGAACAACGAAACTGCGAGGTTAATAGTTAGATGACGCAATAGAAGAGCACGTGTAATTCCCAAGAGAGTCTCATATGATCTTATTCAACGAATCACATTATATGATTATTCTTTCTCCAACAAGATTCCCTTGCCTATAGAGGTGCAATCTCTTAGAACACTATTAACTTAATTGAACGTAATATCTTGCACAAAAACCCAAATGAGCTGTTTCGAAATTTTAAAACAAAGCCTTATTTTAGAGATTTTAAATTTAATATTGCTTCAGCTTCAGCTGTCCACCATAAAAATGATGACTTTCTCTACTTTTGATTAAGATGTTAATGTTAGCTTTTTACTTATTTAGCTAGTCTTCTTCTTATTTAATAATGTATAAACTAAATACACGACCCCTCAAGCTGTTAGCTTTAATTATTATCGTGTTTAAACAAAGGTCTTATCTTATCCGGCTTATCTTATATACTCTGCGTTAAAAACCACCGACACTGAAAAACCTTAAGTTATAGAACAGCCGAGGTAGCAACATTAGACGTGCCCAAATGGAGATTTTCTGAGAAGGAGAATCATCCCTGCTCATGTGATGAACGTTTTTATCGAAAACTACATTTCGATTTCGAATGCCCCTCTTTTACCTTTACTTTTTACATCGGGAACACTAACAAAGGTTACCATATTTTGAAATCTTGACGTCTATTTTGCCGAAGATAACTTTCCTTCGCGTAACTTTTCGGGACGTTTTCAAAAGTGCATAGATTCTAAGGCATGTCTATTGGATTAAATCATACAGGTGTTTCGATTGTTATCCAAACGCTGATTAGTCTGGATGACACGAATTTGACTCAAAACGGCAGGAGTACGATTTTAATGCGCAAGATAATTTATCTCCCTAAGAAGTGAAAAACATTTTACAACATAGAGGGAATTTAATCAAAACAACGTCCTTCTACAGCAATTAATGACTTATCAGTTTATGAGTAAGTATGGGAATGGTCTGTGCAAGAGCAGCTCTGGTTGTAAAGGCGTGAAAATATGTATCATAAAACTGATGGGATGTCACACTAACACATCAGCACATCAACAATTGAATATCGTACTTACCACGACTCTAACGCTAAAACCTTTGTTGCTTTGTAAAGTGAAGCAGCCAAAGTTAGAATTTAAATAATCGGCAAATGTCTAATTTAGGCTTATAGACTTGTGGCGAATCTCAGCCTACCCCTGAGGCGCTGGGATGAAACACCCCCCCCTTCCAACAACACGGTCTGTTTAGGCTGTTGATTACCGACTTTGCAGAGGTCGGGGGGGAAAGGGTAAGAACTCGACCTTCGATCTGGCCGGTTGGGATGTGCGATGAACTTCTTGAAGCCTTCAGATCATTTACAGCGGTCTTACAACGCCTCCGATAACGGACTTCACCATTGATACATCACAAAATCGTTCAAGTACAGCCACAAACTTGCGTAACTCAAGAAGTGTATTACGTCCTCTAAAATTGTTTTGGTTTACGAAAAGTAAACAAGGAGAATATAGAAGTGATTTATTTGCTAAACGAAAGCAGCTTATTTGCTTGCTTCCTTCGAAGCTGAAATAGGATTAATTTACGAATCAGACAATTCTTTACATTTCTTCCTGAAGATGTCCGATTTCTTGACTTAAAAAAAAAACATCTAAAAGAATAATTTCACAACTGCTTATGTGGCGAGCGAACAGAAACCAAGTTTTAATCCTCGACTGATCTGTGGTTTTCAAGTTAAGGCTATATTTCAAATGGCACCATTTTTCAAAAATTAACGAGCTTGCGGAAATGGGGTAAGATTTACGAGATTTGTTGTGCTTAGACGAGCCCGTAGGGCAAGTCAAAATACAAATAATGAATAAAAATACTCAGCGATACACACACCAAAACTTCTAATAAGTTATTTTCTATCCAATTAACACGCCAAATTGTTATTTCAGTACGGGCGAATTTCGCGGATATTTATTTACGGGGAGTGTGTGACAGAGATATGCGAAGCGGAACGGAATTGGCGCGTTGTCGTGTTGCTGTTTCTATTTTCTTCAATAAATAATGAAATTTCATCGTCATCTAATTGCTTTTCTTTGTTTGATTTATCTAATAAACTTAGATCAATTTTCGCCAGCCATTCCGACTCTTCGCCATTTGTTTTCTTTTTTTTTGTTTTTCTATTTTGTAACTTTTAAATCCAATTCTTCGATTACGCGATTTGAGAAAACTTGTTTAACCGGTTATTTGGTTTACAAATACCTAAGGATTGTAGTTGGATAATAAAGAAATATATACATATATATATATAGAGAGAGAGAGAGAGAGAGAGAGGGATTAAACTTGGTGTCCGTGAAACAGTGCTCGATACAAATAGTAGAGCGGGTATAATGTGTGGTAGGAGGGAAAAAAACAACTACATATACATCCCTACAGACCTGTTTCGTGGTTGCCCACTCATCAGAGGATTTTAATGGCAGAATAATGCCATATCATCGCTTATATACTATACTACTTGCTAATTAACATGGTTTATGCAGTGTGAAAAGTGTCAAATCAGCTGTGGCGTAGGAGTGCTCTGTTTCTTTGTCGGCAGGAAGAGACGAGTTCGTTACGCTTGTTGAGTGTTGATAGGTCTGGGTGGCAGATGATAAGGAATTTCTCTTTAAGGCATAGGTTGCATCGCTTGCTTGAGCTGTTGTAGGGCAGATGGGAAGATAGGATGCGCCAGGTGATGGAATAATCGATGTTGTTGTCTTTAAGTGTCCAGATGTGTTTGCTGAGTTCGGTGGAGTTGCGTTGTTTTGCGTGTGGGAATGATGAGGTGTGGTTGTTGTAGCGCGACTTAAAGTCGTTTATAATGAGCCCGATGTATGTGTCTGTCGTGCTGTTCTCTTTACGCGTAATAGTAGCTTGGTATACTTCGCGCTATTTAGGTCCGCGATTCTCTAAAGAATTGGGGATATATCAACTCAGATAAGTGCGCCTTCTTTTCCCGTAAAGAAACTCTAGATCACTGTTTTCTCAATTGCCACCGTGTGAAATCAGTATGGTCCCACTTTTCCCCTCATGTTATCTCCTCTATCCTTGGAACTAGCTTTCTCCCATCCTGTACCTATGTTTTCTTTTTTCGTTGGACCCCCCGCTAGTCCAAAACAGAATCGTATTGCTCGCTTTCTAATTAAAACAATTCTCTACAGCATCTGGAAATTTCGAAATAAATCTACCTTCCACAATTCAAACGTCCCATTCGGCAATTCAAAGATTCAATTTGTCAATCGAACATTCACTTCGTCATTTTAGACATTCGATTCGTCAATTTCGGGGGTGGAAGCGGAATAATTGGATCTCACTTATTCATTATTCCTTTCATTTTTTTCGAGGTTATTCATTGTTCATTTTCAAATTTTTCNGTATGTTTTCAGATCGTAGTCAGGATGGAGAACTTGCACGGTGGGGACTGGGACGAGACACAAAATGGTGTTCATCGTGTTCGAAGTATGCACTCGATATAAGCTTGTTTTCGGTTGTTTTTATGTGTTTGATATCGCCAACACAGAAATTCATACTTGGAAAGCGTCAAAAAATAACAAAGAATGAGGTAAGTCAAGATTTGATGCGGTTTTGAAGCTATAAGCCTATAGTTTTAACCATTTTGCAGCGCTGTCGTTTTGTTTATTCTAGTGAGCTAGGGTTCGATTTTTTTTTTTGCTTTGGGGCAATAAAGGCTTGACAAAGAAACTTGGAGAAAAGACTGTTGATTCCTATTCTTTGTATGTTTTCTTGTTTGGTTTCTATACTCAGAAAAATGTGAATTCTTCACCCATCACTCTAACAGGAGTGATATACACGCAAGGACTGTCTTATGTTAATTTTCTTTATTATAAGCTACGCTTTTGTCGTAATATGCAGTACAATTATCGTTACATGCAGTACGATTGTCGTTATATGCAGTACGATTGTCGTTATATGCAGTGCGTTAGTCGTTCTATGCAGTGCGTTTGTCGTTATATGCAGTGCGATTGTTGTTATATGCAGTAGGTTTGTCGTTATACGTAGTACGTTTGTCGTTACATGCAGTCCGTTTGTCGTTATATGCAGTACGTATGTCGTTATATCGAACTGTTGTTATGATCTACCCACAATTCAAATCACTGGTATCGGATCCAAGCTCCTCCCAGCCTGACGCCGCCATTTTGTTTGTTTTCGCGGGAAAGTTGAAAGCTAAAAAAGCTAAATGGATGGCAAAATGGAGTCGATGGCCTGCATCCTCAAACGACCAAAGTTAGGTCATTTAACGGAAATCTTCCATAGGGCTTGTTGAAGGACCTGTTTTTCAGCTGAAGAAGGTGCTCTGCATGCGTGCCGATCCGCCAAACAAACAAACTGTCCTGTCCATGTCGTTTGGAACCTTTCTTCCTTTGGCCGGCTCGCCTAGCACTAGCACTTCGACCACGGTTAGCGCCACTCTGATGATTCTATTTCGTCATCAG